TCAGTGTTTGAGGATGATCTATGAACCCAGAGGTCATGGTTTGATTCTTGGTCAGGGCACAGCAAGAATTAACCAATGAGCCCTATCTTGTTTTGCTCAGTGGATAGAGGGTTGGACTGTGGTCTCTGGAAGGTCCAAGGTTTGATTCTGGTCAAGGGCACATGCTCTGGTTGTGGGCTCGATCTCCAGTAGGGGGTGAGCAGGATGGACCTGATGTATGATTCTCCACAATCATTGATGTTTCTCTCTCCCTTCCTGTATGAAATCAATCCTATATAATAATACCCTAATATGCTATGTGTCCAGTCAACCGGTCATCTGTTCAACCAATCAAAGCATAAATGCAACTGATATACTAACGTTGCTCAACTGCTCACTATGACATGCATTGACCACCAGGGACAAGACATTCAGACTGGTAGGTCAGCTTGCTGCTAGAGTCTGGCTGACCAGGACTGAGTGAGACGGGCTGGACATGTCCTGGAGCCCTCCTATGATACAGCCCCAGCTGGCCAACCTCCCACATCCCACACCAGCTTCGATCATGCACCGGTGGGCCCCCTTAGTCTGGCCTGTGCCCTCTCATAATCTGGGACCCCTCAGGGGTTGACTAAGAACCAGTTTCGGCCGATCCCCACAGACCACGCCGAGGCAACACACTGGTGCATGAATTCGTGCACCGGGCCTCTAGTAAAAATATATTAAACAGAGAAAGACAAAGAAAAAGTCCTTAAGTTTGAAAATATTAGCCCAGCCTGGGTAGGCTAGGCTCGACAACATCACTGGAAACAGTTTTCATGGCAATGACCAGTGTTCTCATTGTTTGATCTCCTGAGTTTCATCAACCAATACTTCCTTCTCCAAAAAAGAAAGAATATTTGGGGGATTACTGGTGTTTTATGCTGATCATTTCTTTCCTTTGAGGAATTACTAGGGATGCCAGGGCATGTCTCCTGAAGTCTCGAGCAGGGACTGTATGTGGCTTTAACATCTAGCTCTGTGTGCATTAGGGTTTCTCATTGTGTTTAGCACTAAACAGCTGGAAACAAAGCCCAGGATTCACAAAATTCATCTACCATCGAACCAGACAGAGGCAGCTGGCGGAGGGCCAAAGGGGAGCCCCAGAAATCAATTTCAGGGCAACCATGGTTGTATTAAGGAGATCACTGACTGCTGATTAAATTCTCCTCTTGCAGGAAAGTGTTTGCAAATGCAAATTGAGACCTTTTAAGCTGAGGACTGGGGAGTGTTGTGGATGTGTTTCTCATATTCAAAATATTGCACTTCGGGCTCAACCGTCATGTTTCAGTGGCTGAATGTCGAACTATCAACCAGGAAGTCACAGTGCAATTCCCCGTAAAGGGCACATGCCCAGGTTGCGGGCTCAATCGTCAGTAGGGAAAGTGTGGGAGGCGGCCGATCAGTGATTCTCTCTCATCATGTATGTATCTCTCCCTCTCAATTTCCATTCCTCTCTCCGTCAATAAAACATTTTTAAAAATATTAGCAATTGTTGCATTCAGATTAAATGTACATTGTTTTAAAATGTTTTCTTATTTTTTTGAATTAACATACCAGGTGGGTAGTCATTTAAAGACTACCGAGCGCCCAAACTGGTTTGGCTCAGTGGATAGAGCGTTGGCCTTTTATTTTTTCAAATATATTTTCATTGATTTCAGAGAGGAAGGGAGAGGGAGAGAGTTAGAAACATCCATGATTCATGTTTCAGTGGCTGAATGTCGAACTATCAACCAGGAAGTCACAGTGCAATTCCCCGTAAAGGGCACATGCCCAGGTTGCGGGCTCAATGCCAGGTACCCTTCAGTTCTCAGGCCAACATTCTATCCACTGAGACAAATCGGCCAGGGCCAATTTGACTTTTTCAAAGGGTGGAAACTCCTTGAAGCATCTCAGTATTAATATCACAGTGGGAATTACCTCACCTCACCATTCTTTCCCCATTGTTCACTAAATACAGACTCTGCCTAATAATGAATCTTGTAGATAAACAGCATGTTTGCATAAGATTCCTAGGAACTAATTTTGGAAGATAGGAACTCTGACCTTCCCAGTTCTGGAAGATTTGCTGACCTTCAACATTACAGCCAGTAGACAAAGTCTAAGAGGACGCACATTGGACCAACACCTGACCACTTGCAAGATCCTTATCAGATTGGACTGTGCCTGTCCTGACGTAGAGAAATTCTCAATCCCCGCCGCCTGACCTCTTTTCTCTGTTTGGCCTCTCCCTCCTTATAAAAGCCTCTGCCTGCACGGAGATTTGCAGATGGGATTTGGGACTTGTTTTCCCCATCTTCTCAGGTTGCAGGCACCCGAATAAACCTCTTTTCTTCCTCAACACCACCTGTCTCACGGGACTGGTTTCTGGGGAGTTAGTCAGGGGAACCTTGTTTTTTCTGGACACATTCCTGGTACATGGACTCCCTGGAACAGGTGTATCATAGTCATATTCTTTCTTCTGCAGGTGATAAGGGGAAGCAGAGACTGGTCACAGAGGAAAGGAGCGAAGAACGTTGCTATGCCTTCAGAGCAAGATGTTCAGGTAAGAAAAAGGTGGATGGGAGGAGGATGATGAAGGATTGGGGATGGAGTCTGATCTGAGGGAGGAACTTGGACTTTGTGTACTGAAGTGAGTTTAGCAGCAAAACCATACAGCTCTTGCCAAGAGCATGGCTGAGGTTTGGGGAAGGGAGAGATCATTCTATAAGTGATGTTATGAGACCTCAGGAATCCTACGTTCTCTATCACCTGTCACTTTCCTTCCTGTTTTCCCAATCAGCTATCCCAGGTGTCTGTCTATCCCTGATTATTTTGGTCGTGCCTCTCTCACCAGCACTCGGGAAGGAAAATGGCTGTTAAGAAGCCCACCCGAACGCAGCTGTTAGCTTTGTTCCTCTTCCAGCTGTTAAAGGTAAAGCATATTATTTGCATGGGTCGGGTTGTTCTATGGTTTGTGAGTTCCCTTTAAGATGATCAGAAAAAAGGTGGTGGTCTCATGACAAAAAGAAAAGTTGAAGAAACTACTAAGTTTTAATTAAGAAAAAAAGAAAAGAAAGAAAAGAAAATGAAAGAAAAGAGCCCGCCTGGCATGGCTCAGTTCTTTTGCTCAAACCCAGGAAACAGGTGATGTCAATTTGATTCACAGGCATGGCACATGCCTGGTTTACAGTCTTGATCCCCAGTTGGGGGCATGCAGGAGGCAACCAATCCTTGATTCTCTGTCATCATTGATCTTTCTCTTTTCCTTCCTCTCCCTACCTCTCTGAAACCAGGAAATCTATATAAAAAAAAAAGAAAGAATGGTCATGGCACAGTAAAGTAGAGCCTTGAGTCAATCATATATAATTAAAGGCTAATATGCACATCAATAAAACAGCAGAATGTATGGACCTTATGACACGCACTGACCACCGAGGGCAGATACTCACGGCAGGAGTGTCCACCAGTGGCCAGTGCAATACCACAGGGGGAGCACTGCTCAGCCAAAGCCAGGCTCACGGCTGCCAGGCACAGGGGTTGGTGGGAGCATCCACAGCAGCACAAAGGTGGGCCTAAGCTGTCAGTTGGACATCCTCAAGGGGTCCCAGACTGGGAGAGGCCCCAGGGTTGGCTGAGGGACCCCCCAAAGTGCACAGATTTTTGTGCACTGAGCCTCTAGTCTCTCTATATAAAAGCCTAAGTGACCATTAGGACCAAATGACTGGAACTACCAATCGACCAGTTGCTATGACATGTGCTCCCACAGCCAACCTCCCATGGCCCCTCCCGTACCCAGCTGCCCCACCTCCCAGGGTCCCTCCACCATGGCCAGC